AGTGATAAAATGGACCAGGGATTGTCTTATGTCAATAGCCAGGGTAGTAAAGTTCTCACGCTGTCCTCTGTCTCCCCTCTAAATATACCACGCTCATCTAACTACTATTTAAAGGGAAGATCTAGCGTTATAGAAAGATATATCATATGAGTTATAGTATAACATAAAGGCAATATAAGCTCATTGAGCAGGGCCCTCAACCCCTCTGTTCCTTTGCGTTTATTTGTCTGGTTACAATTACGTGTCTGTGGTCCCCCCGTTGTACAGTGCTACGAAATCTGATGGCGCTATATAAATAATAAAATAATAATAGGGGGATAAGTAGTGGCCAATTAATCTGGGGATTTCTTGAAATTACACGCTGGCCGAACCGTTGTCCCAGGTGGTCCATTTCTTACCTTGGAGTGGCGGCGGTAAGCTCTTTACGTCAAAATCATGGACCGGCCATTTTGAAAATAAAATTCTACTATTTTTACTTGTTTCTCCTTCGTGAAATTAGCCATGATGGATCTCCCAAGACTCCGTTATAATATGTACTGCAACAAAACAATCGAACTACTAGAAAATAAGTTATAGTCCTACTCTGAATTTTGGTCCACTCTGTATAAAGGTGGGATAGGGGGTGTTATATCATTATATAAAGGTGGGATAGGGGGTGTTATATCATTATATAAAGCTGGGATAGGGGGTGTTATATCATTATATAAAGGTGGGATAGGGGGTGTTATATCATTATATAAAGGTGGGATAGGGGGCGTTATATCATTATATAAAGGTGGGATAGGGGGCGTTATATCATTATATAAAGGTGGGATAGGGGGCGTTATATCAGGGGGTGTTATATCATTATATAAAGGTGGGATAGGGGGCGTTATATCATTATATAAAGGTGGGATAGGGAGTGTTATATCATTATATAAAGGTGGGATAGGGGGTGTTATATCATTATATAAAGGTGGGATAGGGGGTGTTATATCATTATATAAAGGTGGGGATAGGGGGTGTTATATCATTATATAAAGGTGGGATGGTGGTGTATCATTATATAAAGGTGGGGATAGGAGGTGTTATATCATTATATAAAGCTGGGATAGGGGGTGTTATATCATTATATAAAGGTGGGATAGGGGGTGTTATATCATTATATAAAGGTGGGGATAGGGGGTGTTATATCATTATATAAAGGTGGGGATAGGGGGTGTTATATCATTATATAAAGGTGGGGATAGGGGGTGTTATATCATTATATAAAGGTGGGGATAGGGGGTGTTATATCATTATATAAAGGTGGGATAGGGGGTGTTAGATCATTATA